CATGTATATGTATATGTATACATGTATATATGTACCTGTATCGAACCGTTCAATACAGTGCTTTAGGTTCAATACACACTTGTATCGAACAATACAGATTTTTTAATGTTTTTTGATCAACTTGTCTTCTGAAGATACTCTGTGTTGAAGGATCAGTGGATCTGTGTTCGACTACTCCACCTAGGCTGCAGTGTCGAGCGCAGATCCACTGTGAAACCTGCTGTTTCAGCAACATTTAATTTAAAAACTGTATTTTGAAGTTAAATAAAAGTTCATAATCTCATTTAAATAAATTACAAGTTAAAAAGGGCATGGAAATTTCTCTCTTTTTTTTGTATTGAAAAAATATCGAACCGTGAGACTAAAGTATTGAACCTAATCGTGAATTTTCTGTATCGTTGCACCCCTTATATTCATATACATACTGTATATTTATCATGTGTTGTTGAAGCTACTCACCTACAGTTACTGTTGATTCTGCCTTCAGAGAGGCCCAGCTGACATTCAGCATATTGATCCGGAGTTTACCAGGGAGACGGTCCCTAACTCGGTGAGTCGGACCCCAGAACTCAACGCCAGCACCAGCGCCAACAACGCCTTCAACGGCTTCTCCTTTGTCGCCACCGAGGACAGCTTCCTGTGAGATGAAAAAAAGAGTTGAAATTCAACATTTAGAGGAAACTGTCAGTAAAACGGGAGCCATTACTTCATTGAGTAAAGATCCTATAAATGCATAAGCTGTCAGAATCTCTTCTGGTGTGCAGCAGAGGGTGAGCGTCTGGGTGGTGGAGATATTCAGTTAGAAGCATCTGCATCATGTATGCAAAATATCTTCATGCAGTTAATTTGAAGGTTTGAGATCATGTACGTGATGTCAAATTGTTAAACCCTGTCGCTGCAATGACTAAAAGCATCTGCTGCTTTTCAACTATTTTAATATATTTATAAGCTCTAAAATGTTTGAAAGAAATTGGCAAAACCATGTACAACACCAGTCTCCATCACTTTTCTGTGTCATGTTTGGGTTTGTCTGTTTTACTACAAAAATCTAGTTGTGAATTAACTTTTTTTGGCAAATGGCTGAGTCTGAAACGGTTCATGTTATTCTTTAATAAACCAAAGAAATACTGAATGAAAGAGAGAAGGAGGTGCTAAACATAGCTTTAATGTCAACAATAAAACACTGAGTAACCAGGGAGGTGTAAAACAGTGGCTAGTGGTCACCACAGCAGTGTCATTATGTTAGTTAATGTGTTAAATGTGTTCATGTTAAAAAATACTCTGTAGCAATCATTTACACTGCAGTGTGCACATTAAAGTTGTTTATTGTGGGAACTTGAACTTGATTCGTTTTTGTATATTGTAACTGGGGGAAGTTCAGTGAAATTTGTGTAGACAACAATATATTCTGTAGATAGATTTGTTTTGTTAGTAGTTTGTAAATTGTCATGCCAGTGCTGAATCTATCTTATGTAAATATTCAGCAATTATATTTGTGCTAATGTGATTTATTTTGATTTTTAAAAATCACTTAATTAAAATAAATACATTTGTATATTTTATATAAAACAGAGTATTTCCATTTTTGAGCATAGCTTGCACAAATGTATATGAACACCTTTGAAAGTGTGTTTCTGTGAAAACAAATCTTAAATGTCTATTAATTTTATGGAATATTAGCTGTAACCCTCCTACCTTTGGGTCAAAATGACCCTCAGTTTTAGCTTTGAGGTCTTGTTGGGTATTTTGATCCGAGGGCAGTAGGAGGGTAATTTCGTACTTCAAAATATAATCTCAAGGTGCAAATGTTATTCTGACTTCTGACCTTTAAACTGTAACACTGTGTGCCATGTTGTCCTCCAACTAATGATGTAAACAGAGGCTGTCATCAGTTCTGTCATGCCGCCTGCAGCATCGCCAATGTGGATTGACAACAAGCAACTTGTGTGTTTGTGTACATGGAAAACCTGTTAATAAAGCAAATAGCTGTCAAAACTTTGGTTGCGTTTCACTGGATCAGGTCTATTAATATGGACCGCTACCATAACAGTCTAAACACTGAATACAAAACAAAATTAAAATAGTATCGGCCCTTATTTTGTTATGTCACACTGCAACATATCTTAGTCTCACTGGTTTGGAACAAAAATGTGTTACCATTCTTGTTAAATGGAAATTTGTGATATTTCATTTTGGTTAGTGTGTCCATTACAGCTGTCAGAAACAAATATTTTGGTTTGAGCTCTATTCTTCAAACCTTTATGCCAACATGTTTTATGCAAAAGTGAAGGCAGAGGGAAAATGTGTTATTTTATTTAGTTTAGCTGAAGATAGAATGCTATTTCTAAATTTCAATACCAACATGGGCATAAAACCCTACGTACACCTCTTTAATTTATTTACATAAACAATGAAATCAAATGCTTGTTTCTAAAACAAACAAAAAAACGTACACAAAATAAAGCATAAAATTGTATTTTTTGGATTGTTTTTCCGTTTTTCAAATAAAATACTGCACATGATAAATTATGCCAAAGTATGGCAAAACACGTTTATTAATATGTGAAAATATTTAGTTATCAAATTTCTGAAACACAACTAATACTCAAAAACAACTTATTGCTAACTCTTAGCTACCTAGCATAGCTTTAACATGTAGCCTAATTACCCAGTGGTGATTTTGAATGCTGCTAAATTACTCCTCTGAAGTTTCACAAGTTTATACATTCCTTCCGCGAATATTCGATCCAGACACGCTTATTTTGAATTCATTTTTAAACCTTCTCTGTAGTGTAAAATGCTCAATGCAAAGAATCCGGAGTCCACGCAGCCATTAGCGCCAGTAGGTCACGTGACCGGAGTTTGTTCCGCCATAACGTGTAGCCGCAGCAGTGTAGGAGCGGTGCTCCATCTGTCCCTTCAATTTCAGCCGTGGGCAAAAGGTTTACTGATACAACGCTGTTAGTTTTTCTTTTGTTTCATTTACCGATAACTCTACTACATCTCAGCGTATGTTGTTGAGACAGTTTTTAATTCTGAACCATAACTTTTCCAGCTACCTCCGATTTGCATTTTGAGGAACAGCCAGCCAGGCTTTACAGATACAGAGAGGGGGGATGTCGCACGAGTAAGTGACAAACGATCAATTCGTGTTGATATTTATGATTTTTTAAAGAGCGTATGCACGTCGTTGCTGTGTTATGAATACTATTGTTTAGCAGGTACGTTTTTTTGACGTTTGAACGGAGTTGTTGCTGACTTGTTTTGTCTGCTGTTCTCCCACCACGTCCTTACAACGGCTCTGACTTTATGTGTCCTTATTGAAAAGTGGAGAAAGCCTTTTTGTGCACCGTAACCTGTCGAAACTCAGTCCGAAAATTTAGCCGGACATCACAGTCCTCCGCACACATACACACCGTTAAGTGTTTACCTCTTCAGAACCAAAAATATCACAATTCTTTCACTTGTCGTCGACAAAATAAGTAGCGAGCTAGCTAATAGCATTAGCAGATGCACTACTCACGAGACTTTTAGCAGCGTTAGCTTGCTGGTACAACAGCTTAAAGCTAAGCAGGAACATTATTATATATATTTTTGATCAAATTTTGTAATGTATTTCAACTTTTTTGATTTAGGAGTCGTCCAATGTGTTATTTTACTTATTTAATTAATAAATGATTTTCATTACATAATGTAAGGTGACGTTATGAGCAACTTGGCTATCAGAAATCTGATGATCACTATTTTGTTATTCAAAATGTACTTTTAATGTCTTAAACGAAGCACTTGGCATCAAGAAGTAACAATAGAATAGTCACATTTTGTTTGCATGGTTTTGTGTTATTAATACAAAATGGTGAAGTTTTGCAGTTTACCAGCAGTAGCTAATTTGATTTCTTTTTTAGAGGTGTAGGGCTTTTATTTACTTATTTATTTTCTTTAAATGGACAGTTTTGCTGGTTAACAAATTTCAGTTTTAAAGTTTATAGTTTGAATTTCCCTTTAAGGAAAATCCAAAATATATAATATAAATATTAAGAAGTAACTGAATAATTGATTGTACGATGAATGTATTGCCCTATTATTTTAAGAGAAATGTTGATTAGGGTTGGGCAATATTGGCAAAAAAATTAATCACGATTAATCGTGGTATTTAGCCGATAACGATTAATTTGATGATTAATCCCCTGGGGTCCCTGGACACCCTTATGTCCTGGTCACATGACCAGTTTAGTGGGAAAGATGTGCTCTTTGTAAAATACTGTTCCAAATTGTGTCAAAATTACAGACTTCGGGATATACATCAAACTATAAATTGTGTTGATAGATAAATTACAGAACTTTTTTTTTACGTTCGTCGTATCTGAAGCAGAGAGTCGCACCGAGCGGACTCTGCCTTGTGGCATTAATCATATTAATCGTCAAGTGCCAAAAAGTAATCCATTAATGTTTTTCTGACGATTAATTGCACACGGTACGATTATGCCCAACCCTAATGTTGATGCTTATTTATTGGAAGTCAGATATGAATGGAGATGTTTGTAGCTAGCAGCGTTTATCACTTCAGTGCTTTCATTCCAGTTGGATCCTCTTCTGACAAGCGTTGTCAAATAATGACTTGGATGCTATTTATTTTTTTAAATTATACATTTAGATACTCATCAATGACCATAGTGACATCTCTGTTGACACAACTGAAAATATAAACAACAGCTTGTTGTTCTGATTCTAAATAGGGCTTTAGATTGCAACCATGAAGTCATGTTTTTTGACCACATTTGGAAAACAAATGTTACAGCTAAGTGTAACTTGGTATTTAACCCTGTGGCTTTTTTATTCTGTAATTTTTTAACATCATACAACAATCTGCCTCAGTTCTTATCAACATAACTAAGATTGGGTGATGTTGCTTTCTTAGCAATTGTACAGCTGTGTTCATGCTGGTATTGCACAATTAAGTTAATTTGTGATTAACTTATTTGTAAAAATGATAGTTTGTTTAATTTAAGTTATTTATCATAAAGAGTCGCACCAACAGACTCAAAAACACTTTCTTCCCATTGGCTTGGAGGCTCTGAACAACATCCTAACATCCTAACTGCAATAACTACTTTATTATTGGTTTGATCTCCGTATATACACTCTATATATTGTTGTTGTCCTAAATGTCTTTCTATGTTGTTGTACAGGCTTGTGCGGTGACAAGAAAGTCTATTCTATTCTTTATGCCATCCGTATAGTTTTAGAATAGATACAAACACTGCATATATTACGTCTCGTCACCAGGGCCGTTTACATATTTTTATTTATTTTGTTTTTGTCGTTTGTTTGCAGCATGGAAGAAGAGGGAAATGGTAAACCATCTGATTTGACCGCAGCAGAAGAGAAGGAGGATGATTGTGCGATTAAATGGACCCAGGAGGAGGTATGTGAAAATCCTTTCAAAATGTCATTTCAAACCAAAATTCTTATTTTAGGTAAATGACTTATTTTATTGTCTTTGTGAAATTGTTGACTGTATCTAAGCTGTTTTACCCTTTTGATATGCAGGATGAAAATCTCAAAATTCTGGTTAGCAGCTTTGGGAGAAAAGACTGGAGGACAATTGCTAGTTTTTTACCAGTAAGTGATCGTGAAAGAAAACATTTACTCAAATAGAAACTTTTTTAAAATCTTTCTAGAACAGGAAAACAAAAGCGCACAAGTTTGTCCGTCGAGCTAAGCGATGCTATATTTGTTATATTTTTGTATTTAGTATTAATTTGTTTTGAACAGGGACGAACAGAAATACAGTGTATGGTTCGCTGGAAAAAACACCTGTGTCCTGAAATGGTCAAAGGACCGTGGTCCAAAGAAGAAGATGACATGGTAGGAAAAACAGAAGCTGTCAAACTCTAATGAAGACTTGGTTTAGATTAGGATTCAGACACATTTTTGTGCAAAACTTTGCTATAAAAGGTGCTTATATCGCATAAAAATGAAAAAACAACTTTAACTGGCAACATGGTTTAGTTTTTTCTCCACAACACACATTCAGATCAAAAACTGTTTGTTTTTTGACATTTTTAACATAAACAGTTGCATGTTGCATGTAAAAGTTATTTAAAAAATAGCATATCACAGAATTAATATTCCCCCATTGTGTTGTTAACAGCTGGTGGAGCTGGTGGCAAAGTTGGGCACCAAAAACTGGACCGCAATCGCTAGGAACCTACAGGGTAGGATGGGAAAGCAGTGTCGTGAACGCTGGTTTAACCACCTTGACCCAGTTCTGAAGAAAACTTCCTGGAGTGATGAAGAAGACCTCATTATCTACAAAGCCCACTGCATTCTTGGTAATCGGTGGTCTGAGATTTCTAAGCTGCTTCCTGGAAGGTGAGTCAGCAGTGATCGGTTAACAAGTTGGATGAAAGAAAAAAAACTAGTCTTAACCAAGACAAACCTGGATGTTTTGTTTTTATTTTGGATTCTGTGAAATCCTCCTGCAGATCGGACAACTCTGTGAAGAATCACTACAACAGCACGATCAAACGCAAAGCAGAGATGGGCGCGTTCAAAGACGTAATAGATGCGGTTTCCATCAAAATTCAAACTTTTATGGAAGAAGAGGTAAAATATTCGGTCTTGATTTGTACAGTCTTGGGCTAACAGTTTTCAGTTATAACTGTTTTTATTAGTGCTGTGAGTTGATTAAACTCTAATAGTTGGCTATTATTAGGCTATGTCTGATAAAACATCCATATTCTTAAAAGCTGCTTATGAAATAAATATAAAATGGTTGTTTATCCTTGTGTGAACTGGTGATTAGGTTGTTTTATTGTAAAAGTGTTTATTTGTCATGCAACAGGTGGACTTCAGGTGCGATGTTGTAATAGATGCAGATCCAGTGAATCCTGAACTTGTAAGTTGACTTTTGAAATGTGTGGAAGTGGTCAATTTTTAAAGTCTTGTTAAACAAAATAAAGCCTTTCTTTTTTTTTTAAATTTATTTGTTATTTTGGGTTTACTTCAGATGAAGGCGGAGAAAGCAAGGCACACCAAGGAGAGTGAAAAAGGAAAAAAGAAGGCTTCTCAAACTCAACAAAACTCAGCCTCCAGAAAAGATATGTCCTCCCCTTGTCCTTCTTTGCCCCACAGTTCAGGTTCCAGTCCAAACTCTGTTGTTGCATCAGCTACTCAGGAGGACCAGAAAAGGTTTGCGGAAGCAGCGTTGAGAATGATCGCTGAAGACATGCTGCCACTCTGGTGTGTTTTACTGCTGATGGCTCACAGCGTTAGGTTATCAGATAAGTAAAATGTCTGAACTAAATTTAAAAAGTGTGTTTTTCCTCTCACCCTCTTAGTTTTGTTGAAGGCACTGGCTTCAGGTCGTTTATGAGTACCATCAGCCCCGAGTACAACAAGCTGTCCCAGCGGATCATTGGCCTTCTGCTTTATGAGGAAGTGGAAAGAACCATCAAACCTCAGCTCATCCGTGAACTCAAACAGTCCCTTGCCAAAACCACCGATGGTAAAAGTTTAATCCACGTCACTTGTGACCTGTGGGTAGGAGATTCCTCCAAACAAGCAGACAGTCCCATCCTTGTCGTGCAGCTCCACTACTTCAACGATTCCTGGCAGCTCCGTCGCCCTATCGTGGCCTTTCGTCACCTCAGCCACAACAAACTGAGTGCCGCTGTAGCCAAAGAGGTCGAAGGCGTGCTGCTGAGCTACGGCATCTTCCCTCGTAGCATCGGGTATGTCTTCGCCAACCAGGCCAAAGAGCTCCTATCTGGAAACAGCTTGTTCTGTGACTACAAGATCGTGTGCTCGTCGAACCGGGGAGAGCCAGATGGAGATGAAATCTTGACTTTTTTGTCAGACCAGATGTTTGAAACGGAGCTGCCGTTTTCAAAACTGCAGACCGGGACAAGAGGCATGTGTATTGTCAAAATGTTGCAGACTGTGATCAAGGATGCTCTGAAAAATTCCCGCGTAGTTGAGAACCTGCTCTCACAAGCCCACAATGTTGTGGCTTTCTTTAGGAGCTGTGCCTACTGGAGTGAGGTAAGACCCTGACTAATACTGTAAAATCATTTGATCATTTGTCCTCTTGAAATGTGTTCAGTTCTCATAGCAGTCACTGAATGTTCACCTACAACGTAATAATGTTTGGAGTCATCCTGGTTTTAATCTGGTTGAAGCTGACTGATCTTAGTAAACACAACAATGATTATAACTCACATCAACTTTACAAATATTAAAGTGCGTGTGACATGCTGCATATCCATGCAAAACAAAAAGTCAAAGAAAATATATTTATATTTAAGAAACTTGGCATATTACACATGGTTTGAACTGTTATGACACATAGTTGACATATTTTCCTTTTAATTTGGCTCAGCGAAAGTGAAACAGGAAGTGACATCAAAGGGGAACTCCTTGAGGAAAAAAAACTCCCTGATTTTTATTTATTGAAACAATATTATTCAAACTACGACTCTTTTCTCACCTCTCTATGAAAGGGATTATAATAATCTAAAGAAACATCAGATTCTTTACAGTATGTGTTGTTAGCCATTTTAGCAACACTTTGTTTACATTCAGACATTCCCCTTTGACATCACTTCCTGTTACTTCACATGCAAATATTTCAACAACTGTTCATCTCAGCAGCATGAAATCTTTTTTACAATATGTTATCAATGTTATCTTTCCAAAAATACATACAAAATAATATTTATTATAAAAAAAATTAGTCACAGGCACTTCAAGCTAAAATTAGGTGTGGTAGTAGCAGAAAGAGAAATTAAGAACTATGTTTTGTGTGTTTCTTATTTGTAAAAAATAGTCTTGTTCTGTTTGTTTTTAAGGCTCTGTTGAAGGAGTGCAACGTGTCTCTGTGCCCTTCCTCCAGCAACTGTCGCTGGAACTCCCTGATGCTGTCTTTACGTCGTATGGTGCACGAGAACACCTGGAGCACTGTCATGACGCTCCTGGCTCAGGCTCGCATAGAAGCCACAGACTCAACCAGTGCTCCTCCACTGGTCATGGTTAAGAGGGAGCAGGTGGTTGACATTCTGGGTCTCTTCGGGCCTTTTGAGGAGGCTTTGCAGGTAACTCGTTTGAATGAAAATCTTTTCACGTCTGAATGCTGTTTACAACTATTATAAAGCTGATGGTGGATTTTTATTTTGTAAAACACCTTTCCTCTCTTAACCCAGGTCCTCCAAGGTAATGGTTTGACCATCTCTCTTATCATTCCCACACTCTTCAACCTTGATAAGAACCTGGAGAACTGTACCACTAACTACATCCACTTCTGCAAGGCCCTGCGGACAGGCCTACACACACATTTCCAGTCTCTGATTTACCAGACAGACATCCTACTTGCTACAATACTCGATCCCAGGCTCAAATTGAAGGTATTGATTTAAGACAAAAGTCAAGTCTGCAATTAGGTAGATTCAGAAAGAAAATCTAAAAATGATCTATTGATAAAAATCTCATTCTGACTTTCTTTTAGCCATTTCCTGCTACCAAGCTGGAATCTCAAGATTTCCTAACACTTCCCTCAAGATGGGAGGTTCACAGAATCTTATCAGCGTTATTAAATGGCAAGAAAACCACGACAAGCAGTGAGCAGACAGAGCAACAGAATGAGGAAAAGGAAAGTCCACCCAAAGAAACTGGCAGCTCAGATGACCTCAGTGATGATGTCAACAAAAACAACTTAAAGCGCAAGTCCATCTTCAGCTTCGGCCAGCCTCCTGCAAAGACCAAGTGTTCAGAGTTGGATCTGTACCTGTCTGAACCAGTGCTGGAAAATGGATCCAGTCTGTTTTACTGGAAAGCTGCCTATCGTTTCCCCCAACTGCAAGACGTGGCCATGAAGCTGCTGGCCGCGCCCGCTTCCTCCGGGGGGTTTGACCGCCTTTACCCGATGGCAACGTGTATCGTAAAAGCCAAGAGGAATCATCTCCTTCCTCACACCACAGAGAGACTGCTTCTGTACAAAAACTCTGCTAAAGTTCAACCTGTTAACAAAGTCAATGGAGCTCCTAAACAGTGAAAGGCCAAGTGACACTTCAGTCAGGCTTTCATGTAAATTCAACACACAGACATACTCGTTACGTTAAACATAAGCTCTAAAGGTAAACCGTGCTTTACTAGTTACTGTAGTTATTTTGTAATAAAATAAAGCAAAATTCCATTAACTGTGTTTGTAAAGGAGTTTTTATTTTTTGCACATTGTTGTCATATTATTTGAATTGTGTCTTAAGATGGATTAGATCATAGCCCCAGTTTGAATTTTATTTTTTATATTTTTTTATTGGTTGTAGTTCAGACTAAAATGTATGTACCTCCCAAACAAGGCAGAAAGAGTTCAAAATGTTTATAATTGTTAGAGAAATCAAGAAAGCCTAAATAGTTTAACTGTACGCCTGTACCTGTAGTCTTTAAAATAAATGAAAAGGTTCTGATTGAAATAAAAATGAAATTATGCTCCACGTCTCCACATATCAAAAAGGAAAATTTATAACAAACAGCAGGTGTTTACGGTTTTTTTGTAAGTGCATACTCCAACGTGAAGATGTTCAATTACCTCATGTTCTAGTAAAACTTTATCAATAATGTGCACACTTTTGAATACTGTATTTTTCTATGTTCAATAAACTGTTAGTTAAACACTATGCACTATGCAGAGGACTGAATGAATTCTTATTAGCATTTCGTTGGGCAGTGTGTAAATCATAGAAATTGTATAAGCATTTCTTTTTTTTTGTCTGGTGGTTTGAAGGTGCTGATGGTAGGTTTTTATATTGACAAATTTTTGTTGTGTTATGAAAAAACATGAAGTTTTGTCTTGTTCAGAAAACGTACATTCGTGAAATAAAGATGTTATAAAGTATTTTGTGCATTTGTGGCATTGATCTGCTTGGTCTATAAGTAGGAATATGAATATTTAATATTTGTTTAAAATATTTAAAGTGGGAAAACAGTAATTCGCACAAATGTGTTAAATAAGGATAGTTTCCCTTTAAATCTTGTCAGAAATGTATCTTGCTCTCGTCTGTGATTGGTGGGACTAGCCTCTGACGTCATACATCGTTCTTCCGGAATCATGACCCTTCTTCGCACGTGCGACAGAATTTAGCTTACATGTGGATACATTAGCAAAACAACTTGTTTATTTCAACTTTTCAAGACTATAAACAACGAGGAAGGACATGTTAACGAGTCAGGACACATTTCTAATGTAAGTTAATAAAACCGAGGTCTCAGTGAAACGTTTCCGCCATGGCTCTGTACTTGAAAGCCGCTCAGATCCTGGAGAAAGCCGAGAAGAAGCAGGGCGCTCTGAAAACTCTGGTCTACGACAGCAAGTTCTCGAACATCAAGCAGCTGTTTGCGCTGGCATGCGAGACGCAGAAGTATTCCTGCGTCCTGCAGCAGATCATCGAGTCCACGAAGCTGCTGAAGCACACCAAGCTGAAGATGCCCCTAGCCAAAGTGCTGGTCTACGACCTGCTGATGGGTCAGGGACTGAAGTGCGGCGGGTCCTGGAAGTCCGCCATGATGAAGCACCGGCCCAGACTGCAGGCAGAGCTGGCTCGCATGAAGGTGAGGCAGAAAGTCAGCAGGAATGAAGATCTTCTCCCAGCCAGCGCCCAGCAGTCTGATCAGCACCAGTTACCCAGGTATGTGCGCGTGAACACTCTGATGACCACCGTGGAGGATGTGATGGACTGCATGAAGAGGGATGGCTTTACCTACCTGGGACAAGCTGTCAGACTGGATAACCTAAACCTGAAGGGGAAGAACTTTGTGAGGGACCTGCACCTACCAGAGCTGTTGGCTTTTTCTCCTAAAACAGACTTTCATGACCACTTCCTGTACAAGGCTGGTCACATCATTCTTCAGGACAAAGCCAGCTGCCTTCCAGCTCATCTCCTCAACCCTCCTCCTGGTAGTCATGTCCTTGATGCCTGTGCCGCTCCTGGAAACAAAACCAGCCACCTGGCAGCCATCATGAAAAACAAAGGCAGGTTGTTTGCCTTCGATCTGGATGCCAAACGTCTGGCCACGATGTCGACTCTGCTGCTCAGAGCAGGAGTCACCTGTCATCAGCTGGCCAACCAGGACTTCTTAAAGGTGGACCCCGACTGTCCACAATACAAAGATGTCGAGTATATTTTGCTGGATCCATCTTGCAGTGGATCAGGTATCTAGTTTGTTCTTGTTTATTTATAATTTGTCGAAAAAATCAGAGTTGGAATTAACCTAAATATGTAATCTTGTGTTTTGGGGGTTCAGGTATGATGTGCCTGCGGGACAACGCCCCTGCTGACGAGGAGAAGGAGGAGGCTCGCCTGGCCTCCCTGGCCTCCTTCCAGCTGCGGTGCCTGAACCACGGCCTCAGGTTTCCCCGCCTGAAGCGTCTGGTTTACTCCACCTGCTCCATCCACAGACAGGAGAACGAGGAGGTCATAGCTGCCTGTCTGAAGGAGAACCCTGGCTTCAGGTAGCAACTGCTCACTTTTACCAAACTAAATTACAAATTTACATTCATACATGTGCTTTTTAATGTAGTATTCTCTCTGAACCTGTGCATTTAGATCATTTAGAGCAGCGGTTCCCAATCCTGGTCCTCAAGGACTCCTTTTCTGCATGTTTAGATGTTTCCCTGATTTGACACTCCTGGTTTGAATGAATGAGTGATTAACAATCTTCTGAAGACCTGCTGAATAGCAGGGAAACAAGTAAAACATGCTGGACAAAACAAGCAACAAATGATCAAATTAGCCTCACAATATCAGTAAGTAAATCAGAAGTAAGATCTATTGTCAAACAAACACTGAAGGAGCAATGGGAAGAAGATAACAAAGCAAGATGGTTTTTGTAGGATTCAAAGACAAGTGAGAGAAATGAGAACAGGAGGAAGGAACAGAAAAGAAAGATTAATAAGCAGACGATTTGGACACACTGCACTGAACAATACGTTATACAAAATCATGGTACAGGTCAATGTGAGCACTGTCGACTAGAAGAAACCATAGAACACGTCATTTTAGTCTGCAGGGAATACGAACACAGAAGATGGATGATAGAAGAAT